GCTGAAGGCACCTATCACCTACCCAGCCTTACAGTCCTCCCAGAGTTCTGCACTGCACAGAATGACAGTGATTTAAAGTGTCCAGAACCCCCCCACCCCACCCCAGCACATCCCCTAGGGGCATAGCTCTAATGCTACAGTAGGTTTTCTCTGCTCACTGTCACTTTCACTTGTCTTCCACAAGACACTGACCTTCCTCTATTCCCTTCATTTCTTTTTTCTTTTTGCCTTTTATATTATTTCTTCCAACTTTTCAAATCAGTTAGAGTGCTGTCTTTCATCTTATGAAGTAGGGAGACTATTATATCTGTACCAACTGTAATTGGTGATCACCTCAATCAGGAGAACACAATTCACAGAGTATAACAGTTCTAACTTCATATTTCTTGGAGTCTTGTAGTGTACATTGAAAATCTAACAGAAAATGTCCTCATTTCCATGCCTGGTTTCAAAGGGTGCACCTTAAAAAGTTGGTCATAAGTCTGTCTGTCTCCTTACCCATGTGCTAACTAACCTCTGACCTCCATGGCACATGGCTAAGTGTCACCACTCTGTTCTGCAGTACCCTTTGCTCATAGAGTCACTGCCCCTGGAATTCTGACCCTTTTTCTGTCCTGTGACTGGTGGAAGTGATAAAAGCCCCACCATCCACCCCCACCTTGTTGTACCAAAAATTTCCTCTCCTTGTTCCCCACTTCTCCTCTCGATGCACAGGCAGCTTTGACCACCGGCTTCTCACACCCTCCCTGGGCATTCCAGAGGTTCCCCTGTCAGCCCAGCCTACCCCAGTCATGCAACATAGCCAGACTCTACCACCCTCCAGATAAGACCTGAATTTTCACAACACCCCACGCAAGTCTTTGTCCCAAGGCTCTGTTTTTAAGAATTATAATTCTTGCCCTGATTGGTGTGGCCAAGTGGTTTGGGCATTGTCCAGTGGACTGAAAAGTCACTGGTTCGATTCCCAGTCAGGGCACATGCCTAGGTTGTGGGCTAGGCCCCCGGCTGGGGTCATGCAGGAGGCAGCTGATCAATGTTTTTCTCACACATCATTGTTTCCCTCTCTTTCTAAGAATAAATAAATAAAATTAAGTATTGCTTCTATAGTAATAATTTTTAAAAGAAGTGTAGTTCTTAAAACTCTACATTTACCATTGAGTAATACATTAGCCCTCTCTGAGGTAAACACCTACTTCAGGTTAAGTGGCATCTCTTAACTCGTCTCTGTATCATCAACCCTTTTGTGTATCTCCCTGACCAGGAAGGAAAAGCAGCACCTGGGGACACTGGTGATTCAGGCGGGAAGTCCCTCCCTCCCAGGGCCGGGGAAAATGGCTCAACCCTCCCTGACACCGCCCCACTTCAGGAGCTGGGGGGGGGGGGGGAGAACCTCAGCTGGGCTTGATCTTCAAAATGTTCCCAAGACTGAAGATGAACCAGAGTTTATGTATTGTCTTTCTTTCAGAAAAGAGAATGGCTTCTGTTGGCGAAAGGGGAGCCCCCGAGCCAAGGACCCAGCCTGAGAGAGCCTGCCAGCACCTTCTATGTGATCGTGCCATCGGGATCCCCCACCCTGCTGGTGAAAGCAGTGGCCACTCGGGAACTGATGCTGCCCAGCCCCTTTGCCCTGCTCCCTGAGAACCCACCTGATGACAGCGTTAAGGTTGTGGAGGCAAGTGGAGTCCGATCTCAGGAGAGAGGTAGAGGGGAGAGAAGAGACAGGAATTCGGGAAAGTGGTGCAGAGGAAGAATGAGCCAGTGAGGGGAAGGACAGGGAGCTGAGGGAGAAGTGCTTCCAAGGGTGTGGTGAGAGGGTCAGAGAAGAAACAAAGGTAGGAACTGAGGCCAGGCAGGAGGAAGTAAGCAGTAATGGTGTGTCCCCACAGGCCTCTCTCTGTATTATGGGTGCGCATGTGTGCATCTATTTTGGTCTGTTAAAGGAAAGAGAAAAAGGCAGAAATGCAGGCACCTAGAATAGAAAGGCCTTCAAAATCAGACTCCAATGCACAGGAAAGAATATCTCTGGAGGCCATTTTCTCCTGCTCCTCTTCCTTAGACCTAGATTCTGGGCTTCCTCTGCCTGCCTCCCCAGCCTGGGGGCAGGAGAGTGACTCTGGGTGGGGAGAACTGGAGCCACCTCCCTGCTGGGTCCCTGGCTTCTGTGCAGAGAGGACAGAGCCTGGGATTGTGCTCTCAACTTGGCGGCCATGGAGATGCAGAGAGAGGTGGGCACAAGTGGCTGTGGCTTGCTCAGCGTCTCACTTCAGGGCCAATGGTTCCTGGCACAGGACGTTGTGGCCGGAAAACCTGACTGCTCAGGAATGCTGTGCTCGCGTGTCCTCTGGTTATGCTCACCTGGCAGGCGGGTGGAACTCAGTGTACTTGCCTTGCAGGCTGTGAGCACCCCCAGGCCACAGACACACCCTCCCTCACAGTCTTGCACACTGGACCCCTTGTAACTCTCACAGTGCTCTGGAATCCCGTGACACACTTCTTGGACTGGAGCAACTCAGGGCTGCTCTGACTTCTTGTACCTGTGCCTGACACTTACCTCCCAAACATCAGACCTGGGGCCTGTGGGAAGCTCATCTACCCCACAGCCTGCAGGGACGCCCTGGGTCTTCACACCTCCTCCAGCCTCTTACCCACAAAGGGCTCTACCTGACATCTTGTGTTCTTTGTCCTCAAGTTTCCCAAGTGAGGCTCCTCTTCTCTTCCTCAGAACATACTGGACCGCCTGGAGCTGGAGCCCACCTACAACCCCTTACAGGTTTGGAGTCACCTGTACCCACACCTGACCAGCACCTTTGCCAAGCCTCAGGGCCGTCACCACCCAAGCTGGGAGAGCCGGAGAAAGGTATGGTTCTCCTCCTTACTCCCCTTCCCTCTGTTCCCAGAACTCAAGGAACCCCATCCCCTGTCCCCAGCACCCACCCACCCTCACCCCAGAGTGTAGCCCTCTTCCCTGGATTCCCCTGGTGGAGGAGAGAACCAGGCCTCTGGGGAGGAAAAAGAGCAGCCCTTTGCCCTAGACAAAGGAAATTACAGCCCCTCCCCGGCAGGGAAGCTCTTCTGCTTGGGCATTGGCATATGATAACATTCAGGTATCTTAGTTTAGTGTTTATTCATAAAACAGACCATTGTTTGTTTCAAGGAAACCGGCTGCACTGAAACTACACCATAGCCCTTCCCTGAAAGGAAAGGCTGAAGGGAAAGAAATGCCCCAGGGGAGGGAAGTTAGCATTTACTGAGCACTCGTCCTTTGCCAGGTGCTGTGACAGGCCCTTTCACATATAATTTTCTCCCTCCTCACAGCATCCCTGCGAGGTAGGCATTATGCCCATTTTTCAGGTAAGCAAAGGGCGGCTGACCAAGGTTGGTAGCTTATGGAGAAGGCTCTAGTGACAAGGGCTAAAGAGAAGAGTCATTGAATATGGAGTTACTTTTTTGAAATCCATATTTTATAACATTTGAGCTTCCTTTTGCTCTTATTCACTTTTTCTAGTTTCACAGTCATAGAGCCTTTAGAAACACTACTTTCCCTTAGCTGAAGTTACAAGAGATGTTTCCAGACCAGAAAGAACAGAACCCACATAAGTTAGCTGGTGGGCAAGCCAACAAAGGAGGAACACTCAGCCAGGGCATGGGCACTGGGGAAGCTAGAGTCCAGGGGACTCCATTGCCCTGAGCCTCGCGAGGCTGTCACTCCAGGGATGGGACAAGGGAAGGAATTAGGACAGCAGACCCAGAAAGGGATGGGATAGGAGATAAGGGAATCTGATCTTCAGAGACAGCTCTGCTCACTTTCTTTTCAGGCTGGGCAGTTGCAAACAAATCGAGTTCGAGCTACGGTGGCCCCTCTACCTATGACTTCAGCCCCTAGCAGAGCCCCCAAGATGCCAGCAGCCAGCAAAGCCTCCTCAGAAGCCATCTTCCAGCTTTCTGAGGAGGAGGAAGAAGAGGAGGAATACCCCTTGGGGCCTTAAGTAACCAGCACCAGAGCCTGGCCCCCCTGCTTAACCACATCCATCATAAGGCTCTCACGATGGTGTTCTGAGGCCAGGTTTGCCTTCCGTCCACCTGAGCCTCTGTGAGCTCTAGGTGACTCAGAAACAGCCTTCCCCTCCTCTGTCCTCAGCGCCGCCACTGCCCCACTCAGCCTGGGAAGAGGCATAAGAACCAAGCCTCTTGCTTCTCCAAGCGGCAAGTTTTCTTTTGGGTTATTTGATACTGTTAACACAGATGAAGATTATACACCCAGTAAACCAACACCATTGTTAGGAGCATTTGCAGCCCTGAATTTCTCCTTGTAGCTCTATGTAAGCAGATGGATGTCCTGTAACCTCCGGGAAACTAGGCCTCAATAAACAAGGATGATGTTTTCAGAGCTCATGAAAAACAAGGATTGAAATCCAAGCCCGATTCCAAAGCCTGTGTCCCTCTCCCTACATCTACCACACTGGCTGCAGTTCCCTTTAGGCTCCAGACAGAAAAGTGGTTGGTGCTCAGTACCTACGAGCAAAGCTGTATGGGGCAGGGGTGGGGATCCTATGGCTGAGAACAAGGGGGCGGATGGCATGAAAAAGACCTATTCCCTTCCTATTCCCCTCTCCTCACCTGCCTACCTTCCCACCGGCCCTCTCCATCCAGAGAATAGTAACTATAAAATGTACTCTGCTTCAGATTGCACTGAGTACTTGAGAAATTTAACCCCTTCCATACTAACCCTGTGAGGTACAGGCTGTTAGTGTTCCCAGTTTACAAAGGACAGCAGGAGTGACTGGGGGTTGCAGGTGTTATAAACCTTACCCAGGGTCACAGCCCAGATGGGCTGGATGGACCACCCAGGCTTCAAACAGGCAGTCAGCTTAGCACACCACCCTGGGGCCCTTCCCTCCTTGCACAGCCCCCAGCACATCCCTGGTTGGCCTGTGCCGTCCACACCCACAGCACACCCTGCCTCCATGAGCCCTCTGTGACCATTCACACACATAGACCTCTTAAATACAAACTGATTTTAATGAGAATAAAACTTTTTTAAAAATCTCTGGCAAAGAACAATGCAGAGGAAAGGATCCAGGCACAGTCCAGCATCTCCCATAGCCTCCATGCAGGCCCCTCCCACTGTACTGACTCTAGTCAAGCACCCTTTCTGCAGATCTGGTCCAGCAGCTTTCCGTTCCTTTTGGGGGGATGGCTTAAGGATGCTGGTCTCCCCAGATCCCACCCGAAGCCCCTGCCATTTGTCCCACTTCCAGGACTTCCACTTCCAGGGATTAATCCTTCTTCCCTGACTCCCCTGGTATGTCTGATCCCCTAGTCTCACACAGGTCCCTCCAGCCCTCTGGTTCCCACTGCTTCTAACAGGTTTCTTTGACCCCCAATGCCACCTCTCCATGGTCCTACCAGCTCCCCCAGCCTTGCCCAGCTTCTCATGTGGAGCCCTCTGACTTGACCCCATTCCTATCAGCCTCCGCTCTAGAGAGCTCACAATCCCAGCTCCCTGAGGCTCTGCTCTTCTGGACCTGGCTGTACAGGGCAGTGTCTGAGCTGTGGCTTTTGCTGCCACTGCCAGTTCCAGCACCAGGTTCGGGGAAGGCCAGGCCCTGGGGCTTGGGAGCTGGCAGGGGCTTTGTGATCCGAGAAGGGGGAGGCACAGCGTAGTCATCCGTGGCAGGGTTGTAGGGGAGCTCATAGCCCTCCTCCTTCACTCGAGCCTGGCACCACCATGCATCCTTGGGCTCCTGAGGCAAATCGTAAAGGCCCCGGAGAGCAGCTGGGGCCAGGCCCTCGGGTTCATCGTAGATGGGGTCCTCTTTGGGGTCCTTCAGCTTGGCCTTCATCAGCTGCTGCTGCACATGCTCATACAAGTTCCAATAGAGAGTTTTCTTTAACTGTACCCGTTCCCCTGCCAGTGCAGAGCTGCTGTCCAAAGGGTCTGAGTAGAGGGAATCCTGGGAAGGACCTGGAGGAACGCGCAGGGAGTCCAAGGGTTCAGCATAGAGGGCCGGAGGGCTGCCTGGAAGCTCCTGGGTGCCAGGGTGGGAAGCCTGCTTCTGCTCTGCCAGTTCTTCTCGGGAATCAGCTCTGACAACATCCTGTCCCTGACCAGCCTTGCCCTGGGCCTTCTGTCGCTGGATAGCCGTCTCAACAGCCTGAAAGATGTCATTTCCCTGTGCCGTCTGGAAGGTGAATGTTCCAGGGCCAGAGGGGCAGCGCCGGCCAGCCTCAAATGAGAACATTACCTGAAAAGGGGAGGAAGGAAAGCACATTACCAAGAGCCATCGTGCATGGTGAGTCACAGGGCCTAAATAGTTAGGGGGTCTACAAAGAAAAGACTACCTGGGGAGGGAGATGGGCTCTTGGGCTAGGCAAAAAAGGGTTATCAGAAGGCAGAGCTTCCCACCTTCCTGCCCTGCCCCGCCCCACCCAGCCCACAGCCCTGGCCCCAGAAAGCCAACCCTCCAGGACAGCATACACACCTTGTCTCGGCCATAGCGACGCAACAGAGTGTAGGGCCAGGAGAGGAGTGGCTCCAGTATCTGATTCTGATTTCCCACAGTCAGGAGAGTCAGCCTCTCAGCCTCCACCCTCAGCACATAGGAGCCTTGCAGACCACAGCGCTCAGCAGCTTCAGTCCTCTGCACAGTTACCCAGAATTGGGATCCTGGAGGGAATACACAACTAGCTTGGCACCTGACCAGGAAGGGGGGCAGATCATCCCAGCACTCACTTGAAAGCCAGCTCTCAAAAACTTCCTACTTTCGAATGGGTCCCTGGACCCTCTAATCAGCCCCTTCCCAGGGCACCTTTCTTTTCCATCCCATGCCTGCCCGACTGTTCGGGCAGCTACCTTCCCAGGTGGGGCTATACAGCGAGTTCTCCAGCATCTCCAAGGCAGAAAGCTTGGGTGGGTTCTCCGCAGGCGCCAGGGGCCAGTTGCCTTTCTGGAGTAAAGAGAAAAGAGCATCTAAGACCCTGTCATTCCCTCAAGGCGGTTCTGAGAGTCTGAGCCAGCCCAGTTCCTCCACCGCTGTAACTACCCCCACCCCGAATCGCCTCTAGGGCCCAGTTCGGCTCGTCCCAGCCCCTCGCGGGCAATCCCGGCCCCCTCACCGGAAAGGCGTTGAGGCACAGCGTTTGCACCCAGGCGGCGCTGGACGGTGCATCGGCGGCCAGCAGATGGGAGCGCTGTGCGGTGTCCAAGCGGAAGGCAGAGGCTCCAGGCTCAGGGAGACTCTCCAGAACCACCGGCACCACGCTCACACACTCGGCTAGACGGATCACCTTGCAGTCGAGGCGGCGCGAGGCCACTCGGCCTCCTCCAGAGCTCGACCCCTTGTGATCAAAGAATTCGAGGCGCGCTACGCCGTGGGGGCTGGCCGGGTAGAGCACGGCCCAGGTCTTCCTCCACCTCTGCGGAAAAAGAACGAGACAGACGCTGGGGAGGCGGCGGGCGAGGGCCGAGGGCCCGGCCCCGACAGGGAAGGAGGCACTAGCGCAGGCCTTCCGATGGGGCCGAAGTTACCCAAAGAGGATGCCGCGGAGTCTCCCAGGACCAGAGAGGGCGTGCCCCGGCCGGCGGACAGCTCTTCCCAGTGCGCGGAGCGACTTCGCGGGAACTTCGCGGGGCTCTCGGCTACCGGGCTGCGCTCCTACCCGCTGCCCCCCGGTTCCTGGGCCCTACCACCCACCCCTAGCCCTAATGGGGTTCGGCACTCCCGCTCCAGACTACCTTGGTACCGAAACGCTGACTCTGCAAGAAGAGCGGCCCCTCCATCACGGCCCCGTCCATGGCCCCTGGCGGTTCCTTCTTTGCTTCCTGGCCTCGCAAGCTGAAGGCGGGGCGGGGGCGGGGCCCGCCCGAGGCGTTCCCGCCCCAGCCCCAGCCCCAGCGGACAGCGAAGGGGGGAGGAGAGAGGAGCAAGAAGGAAGGGGGGAGGGTCCCCAGGTAAGACGGACGGTGCGCTCCCTCCCGGCCTCTACCCTACCCCCCGCCCTGGGACGCGCACGAGCGGCTCCACCAAGAGAAACCTCGCGGTTTCCGCCAGAGCGCTCTGGTGCCTGGGCTGGGGAGCTGCGTGTGACATCATATGCTCAACGTGACATAGTAGTGAAGGCTGTGACATCACCTGGGAAGTGCTGACCGGCACCCCGGGGACCCGGAGGGACCAAGTGGGTCCTCCTAGCCTCAGTTCCCCCGACCAGACCCGTCCCAGTCCTGGCTATTTACTCTCCACGGAGCAGGGGACATGGAGGACGGGCTAGGGGCTCGGGACTGGAAGGCTTCCCGTAGTCCAGAGCAGAGCCGCGGAGCCCCTTCCGCCGCCACAGGGGCAGCCGCCTGGGGCCAGTCCGGGCCTTGTGGCCTCTTGCATGTCCAGTTCCCCGACCGCAGCTGCCCGGCCTCCAACCCCAGGGAAAAGAAAGCTTCATTGAGCCGGCCTGGAGGGGAGGGGCGGGGAGAGGTGGAGCAACAGTGACCAGCTAGCTCCACGGGGGAGGGGAGGACCTAGAGGAGGGACCTGGCCTAGTAGGAATTCAGAGAGAAGGCAGAATGTAGGAGGGCTCTGGGGGACGTGGGAGGGACGAAAGGAGAAGGGGGAGAGAGGGGAGGGGTCCAGTCTCCCCTGGCCGAATACTTTTTTTGGAAGTCCTAGGATTGATCTCCAGGACCAGAACTCTTCTTCCAGCGTCTAGGGCCCTGCTCGACCAAAGGTAAGGGAGTCACGCTGCTGAGGAAGGGGAGTTGCGAATGGAGAGGATGGTGGAGGGACCAGGAGGGCAAAGGAGTGATGTTGGATGGAGTCGAGCGGAAGCCAACCAGCTGAAGGTTTTATTATTGTCAAGGAAGAGTGAGACAAGAAGATTGGAAAAAGGAGGCAGATACGGAGCGATGGGTGGGGCAGTGGAGGGGGGCTGCAGGATTTTTCAAATAGGGCAGCCGAAAGGGCCCTAAGGCGGAGGGCTGCTCTGTGAGGCCCTACCCCTGGGCCCCCCAAGCCAAAATGTCCCCAGAACAAAGTACAGAACAAAGTCCCCAGAACAGAGCTGTCCTCTTGGGTTGTTTGTCTGAGTCTGGGGAAGTATTTTGGGTGCCCCCCCCATCTCCCATTGTGGAGGAGCTGTTCTCAGCCCCAGACGGAGGGAAGGCCTTGGCTGAGGCACTGAATGGTGCCCGGGCCTGCCGTTGCCCAGTGACAGTGGTGGCGATGTTGGCAGGAGGCTTGGACAACCCCACCCCACCCCACCCCACCCCCCACCCAGCTGGAGGCCAGGCTCTCCTGGGCCCCTTGACCCTGCAGGGCAGTGAGAGCCTGTGTGCTGGGTAGGGCCTGCAGTGGGCTCTCCTCGCATGCTAGATTCTGCCCTCTGCAACGGAATCTGCCCAGATGGGACTCTGGACTTGGCCTCCACTCACGGACCCTAGATCCAAGGGTCTCCTAAGCCCCCCTTGCTTGCTTCTCTCCACGATCAGTAGCTGTCTGTCCTCTGTCTGACTGGCTGAATGGGTCCCTCTGGCCTCTGCTTCTTGCTCCTGTCAGTCCCTCTCCTCCTCACCTGCTACCTGCCTCTCTCAGCCGTTCCCCAGTTCTGTATTCCGGGCTCTTTCCCAATCACCTTCTGTCCATCATCAACATTGTCCGTCTGTCTGTCTCTGTCTCTGCTCTCTCCCTGCCCGACCCCCCCCTTTCATTCCCACAATTTCCCTTCCTCTCACATCCTGTCTGTCTGGGTTTTTCTCTTTGTGTCTCTTGCTCAGTCTCTTTCTCTATACCTCAACCATCCTCTGAGTCTTGGTGTCTAATCATTGTCTTTTGATCTCTGGGTCTCTGATGTGAGTGGGGGGTAATGAAGGTGATCGTTGTAGAACAAGGGAAGGTCATTGTGACACATTAACAACTTATAGTGAGAGTTTTACTCTACAAAAGGGAGGGAGAGTCTCTCAGCCACTCTATCTCCCCCGCCCGCCCTCCCTCCCTCTCTCCCTCTCCTCACTGTGCACCTCGAAGTCTGTGCCTCCTTGACTGTATGTTTCAGCTCTTATTTAGTGTGTTTCTTTCTCACTGTCTTAGTCCCTGTCTTTCTCTGTCTCCTGTCTTACTAATGTCTCTTTTCCTGTCATGATTTCTCTCTCTCTCGGACCTGGGCCTGGCTCAATCTCAGTTTCTCTCACACAAGCTCTCTCTCTCTGGGGCACCCAGGCCTTCTCTGCCATGCAACCTGTCAGTGTCTGGTGGCAGAGTCTGTGGGGGCTGCTGCTGTGCCTGCTGTGCAGCTCGTGCCTGGGATCTCCATCCCCGTCCACGGCCCCTGAGAAGAAGGCCGGGAGCCAAGGGCTGCGGTTCCGGCTGGCCGGCTTCCCCAGGAAGCCCTTCGAGGGCCGAGTGGAGATACAGCGAGCTGGTGAATGGGGAACCATCTGTGATGATGACTTCACGCTAGAGGCAGCCCATGTCCTCTGCCGGGAGCTGGGCTTCACAGAGGCCACAGGCTGGACCCATAGCGCCAAATATGGCCCTGGAACAGGTGAGCACTGCTCCAGGTATAGCCTAGTTATTGCCTAAGTGTGCCATAAGGGCAGGGAGCAAGGCCATCAGGATAACTCAGCCACAGGGACACAGGACATGAAGAATAGCTAGTGTCAGCCAACATAGTCACTTCTTAGAGGTCTGTGTTCTTAGGCTGGTCCATGCCTTCTCAGAGGCTCCGAAGCCCTATGTGCAAAAAGGCTACATGATATCTAAGTTTCTTTCTGTTGAACAAAGTATGATTCTCCAAAGCTATGCACGAGCACAGCCCTGATTAAGTGAGCCCTGGTTAAAGTACAGGTGCTCTCATGAGATGTTGAGAGCAGGTAAATGATGTCTGGATGTCTCAAAGCCAGACGGATCACAGGTACTGCAGCTGACAAAGTCACATTATAGGCCAGAGCTGAAACCAACAAGCTGGCACTAACCAGGACAAGTATGAATGTGGGTAGCAGAAGCTTAGGAACCATTCCACCTGCAGCCCGGGGGTGCTTGCACTCTATGAACCCACGATGGGATTGACAGGCAGTTGCTGGTGCAGTCGGAAGCGGATTCCCCAATTCCAACTGGCCAGACTGCTTCTGAACCATTTGTAAATGCCACATTGTAAGAGACAGTGATAGAAAATGGAAATACTTTCAGAGGAGAGCTGCCCAAATGTGAAAGATTTTAAAAATGTCTTTATTGTTTGATTTTAGAGAGAGAGGGGAAAGGGGAGACAGCAGAGCAAGAGACGCACTGATTCGTTGCTCCACTTAGTCACGCACTCGCTGGTTGCTCTCTACAGGCCCCGACGGGGTGTCGAGCAACCTTGGCGGGTCTGGACAGCACTCTAAGCAGCCGAGCTACCCAACCAGGTCCAGATGCCCAAGATTTGAGGCCAAGTTTTTAAGGAGGAGTAGCTGAAGAAACCAGGGGTTTTTTTTATATGAAAAGGAAGAAAACTTTGGTAGCAATTACATAATGGTTATCTTCAGATACGAAGATAGTCATGTGGCTAAGGGGTTTTGGGGTTTTTTTCTTGGATGGCATCAAAGGGCTGAATTAGACCTAGTAGGGGAAAGTCATAAAGACTCACACGGACTTTGTAACGGTTCCCATAACCTTGTGGGCAGGTGGAAGGTACCCCAGCAGAAGCTGGGGAAGTCCTGTCAGGTTATGTATGCATCAGGGGTCCCTGCACAGTGTCTGAGACAGAGGACCTTTGAGGGTCCACCCAATTCTGAGAGGAAGTCAATGAAATGACAGTCATGTCAAAGGTCCAGGCAGAAAGAAGAACAAGGAACAATGTGGAAGCACAGGCAGGGGGGCACATGGGAAACTGTGAGGCTGAGGTGAGACCTTAGACTTCCAAGACTCACAAAGGGCTCAAACCCCTAAGCCCCATTGGCTGTGTGGTCTTAAGCAAGTTTTTAAACTTCTCTGAACCCTCAGTTCTTTATACACAGTGGTGGTAATATCTTCTGGCAGCTCTGTTCTAACAATGATGCGCATGTACAACCATAGCAGAGTGCCTAACACGCAATAGGTTCTTGATTAGTTGTACTATCACTGAGTGGGTAAGAACTGAGCGGAATTTCAGTGTTGACTCTTGGTGTTTTATTCACTGTACCAGATCCCTGACTATCCCCAAATCACCACTGAGCCTCCATCAATCCTGTGCCTCCTTTCCTATTCCCTCCAGGGTCCTTTGTCCTTTCCCCATCCATTATCTTACCAAAAAATGGGATCATCATGGCCAAGTGTGAGGCCCCCATCCTCATTGTCCCCAACTCCCCCCATCATCCCCTCCATCCTACCTCCCCAAGCCTCTTTGTCCCTTCATCTCTCCCTCCACAGGCCGCATCTGGCTGGACAACCTGAGCTGTAGTGGGACTGAGCACAGTGTGGCCGAATGTGCCTCCAGGGGCTGGGGGAACAGTGACTGTACCCACGATGAGGATGCTGGGGTCATCTGCAAGGACCAGCGCCTCCCTGGCTTCCCTGACTCCAATGTCATCGAGGTCTGCAATGCACACACACACACACACACACACACACACACACACACACTACATACACACACACACACACACACCAGCCAGGATGGCCAGACAGAGAGGGATGTGGGGTGTTATACGTGGTTAGAGGAGATACTAGAAGGTAGGGGAGTTCATGTGCCCACTGGATAACTTGGGTGGGTAGGAAGCTGGGGGCTGAGTGGGTGGGGGTGAATGCTAGGGCTCCTAGATGCTGAAAAACCCAGATTTGTTTCAGCATTAACAAACCTGGCAGGGACCTGGTGCCCAGGGCACCCCGGACCATCCCTCCTTGTTTTCCCCTCCTCCCGTGCCACTTCCTCTGTGAAGTGCGCCACCTGCTCCAGACAGTGAGGTGCTCCTTCTTAGCGCCCTTGAGCATCCCTCAGGGCACTTCACAGCAGTCCTCCCCCTGGACACCCCCACACCCAGTCAACACAACACTGGGGAAGGCACACCTCTCTCAGCCCTGCCTCAGCCCCTGCTCCCCCCATTGGGTTCACAGGAAGCCCGCAGTCTGGGCTCCCTAAGGGTGTCAGGACATGTGCAAGGTGCTACGGGATTCCTCCCTCTGCTTTTGGTCCCTCCTCAGGTGGAGCATCACCTGCAAGTGGAGGAGGTGCGACTTCGACCAGCTGTCGGGCGGGGCAGGCGACCCCTCCCCGTGACTGAGGGACTGGTCGAAGTGAGGCTTTCCGACGGCTGGTTCAAAGTGTGTGACAAAGGCTGGAGTGCCCACAACAGCCACGTGGTCTGCGGGATGCTGGGCTTCCCCAGTGAAAAGAGGGTCAACACGGCTTTCTACAGGTGAAGGGATACAGGTGCTGGTGGAGCAGACTGGGGTGGAGGGGCACTCCTTACAGAATGGGACTGAGAGACCTCTGAGAGGATCCAGGCACGGGCGTGAGGGGGTCCTCTGGGCTCGTGGGGGAAAGGGGGCACCGTTGCGAGGCTAGAGAGGTGAGAAATATTGTGGGACCACGAAAGGCTCCTCCAGGTGGGTCTGTAAGGGGACCGGTGAGGCTCCTGCTCCCTGGTGTCCGGAGTGGGGCCGGGGTGAGTGGCGGGGGGCCTGGCGGGCAGAGTCCCCAGCCTCTGGCGCGCGCGGGGGTGTCGAGGCCACGCCCAGCGGCAGCGGCCCGCGTGGGTTAAAGTCACAGCCCTGGCACCGCCCGGATCCCGGGTCCGAGTTCAGAAAGGGTGAGGACGCCCCCTGCCCAGGCGGGGCCTGGTTGTGTGCTGCGCAAGCCGGGGGGACCAGGGTCTGAGGACTGGAACTGGCCCGTGTCACCCGCCCGCCGGGAAGCGTGTCCGGCTCTGGGACTCATCCCTGAGAGCCAGAGAGGGAGGGTCCCTGCTCTTAGTTCAGGCCGCCAGCGGGGCGCGTCTACGAGCGCATGAGGTCTAAGAACTCCTAGGAATATTTTCTAGAAGGATAGGAATATCCATCGGCCCTCCACCTGCTGGAGAGCCCAGCCAGCTTCCAGAATAACGAATCACACTGGGGACCGGTGTGTTTGCTGCGTCTCCCTTCCCTAGAGCATCTGATTTGGTCAATTAGAAAAATATGGAAATATTTAGTCTCTCTATAATCTACTTTTGCAGGATAAAAATGCTTGTATCCTTTTTTCCTTTGTTTTCTTTTTTTTTCTCTTGAAAATGATTGCTTTCTTCAATATTTCCTTAGATCCGTTTTGCAGAAAAACCTCCCGACATCTAGGTGACCTTCCACTGGGTTCCCACGTGGTCTGACGCGGTCTGGTCAGAGGAATGCTGGGCTTTGGGGGAAGTGTGCCTCCCTGCGCACCGCAGTTCTGTTGGTGCAGCAACCCCCTTGTTGCTGCCTGAGCTTGTAATCACCTAAAACCAGTTCAGGTCTTCGCTTATCTTTGGTACTGATAGAGCAGCCTATCTGAACCTAAATCTCTGTTGAGTTTATTAATTTGCTACATCATTTTAAAACCATTTTGAAGGCCATGACGATCCCATGAGATCACCTTGAATCTTGACCTCGTTTTCCATGTGTCGTCCTTCCCATCCTCTTTCCATAGACAGACCTGATAGCCGTGCCTTCTGGCTTCATCAGAGTAACTGTTAAACTTGCTGAAATGTTTCTAAAACCAAAGCCTGACTCTTCTTATGAAACTTTCCTCCAGGTTTACACAAAGGCTTCAACCATTAGTTGTGAAATGTCTTTTCAACCAGTTGGGAACAGACTGAGCTCTACAATGATGTGGCCAACATTTCACCATCTTATTTATCTATAATGCATTCACAGGAGACTTCATTAGTCTTTGCTAAAACCCAGGTCTACTATGTTCATAGTCTTTCTCCAGCTTCTGGTTGATTAGTGATCATTCAAAAAAGGAAACGATGGTAGTTTGACTGAGTTAATTTTTACTGAAAGCATCTTAAGCCTCTAAGGATCACCATAATTTTCCTCAGTGTTCATGAACTTTCTATTTCATAAATTACTCTAGATTATTACTTATCTCTAGTTTGTGGAATCCCTTCTTCTTGAAAGTCAGTATATTATCCAACCTCCATTCTTTTCCATACTTGCTCAAATTTTCCTTGCCTTAGCTCCGAGACACATCTGAAATCTCTTTCAGCCCCCCCAAATACACTTTATCTGCTCTAGAGACTCAACTGTTCGGCTCCTCCACTGTTATTTTCTTGGGGCTCTATTTCTTTCTCTGTTTGCTCTTTATCTTTCCCATCCAAACCCTAGGTTCTAAAAGATGAGTATGATTTAAATAACAGGCATTTCAGCTGAAGAGGATAGCATAAACAAAAGTAGAGATTTGTTCATTCCGTATTTATTTATTGAGTGCCTACTATGTGTCAGGGACTGTTGTAGACCACAGGGATTCAACAGTGAGCAAAACAGACAAAAAATCTCTGATCTCACGGACTAGAGCAATGGGAGACTAAGAATGTAAGAACACCAAAGAATGTAACCATTAAAAATAAAGCAGGGGAGGGGTTAGGAAATGGCTGTGGGATTGCAGATTTAAATAGGGTGGTCAGCAAAGGCCTCTTTGAGAAGGCATCTTTTGAGAAAAGATATAAAGGAGGTGAGGTTATAAGCTATGCAGAAATCCAGACCAGGATTTTCAGGAACAGTGATTATAAATGAAAAAATTCCAGGGGAGTGCGTGTTGCCGGTGGGGGGGGGGGAGTCAAGCACACTGGGGAGGCATTCTTGAGGATAAAGGTAGACTGCTGTACTTCTAGTTTTCTAAATAATACTACATGTTTCTGAGCACTACTCTGGAGATCAAGATGATCTCTCTGGGTCACTGGCAAAAGGAGGTGCCTAGTGTATTTTATTTTTTTTAAGATTTTATTTATTCATATTTAGAGAGAGGGGTAAGGGGGGGAGAAAGAGAGGAAGAGAAGCATCAATGTGTGGTTGCCTCCGACAAGTGCCCCACTAGGGGCCCAACCCACAACCCAGGCACATGCCCCAACTGGGAATCAAACCGGCAATCCCCTGGTTCACAGGCTGGCGCTCAATCCACTGAGCCACACCAGCCAGGGCCCAAGTGTATTTTATTTTAGACATGTTTGAGAAAAAGACATTTGGGGGAAAGTTTTACATTATACACTCTTAGTAATGTCTCAGGAAAGAGACCTGAGAGCTACTGTAGACTCTTGGCTTGCAATGTTGGACATATTAGATGTTTTGGCAAAAATACTAAGTACACCCTCAGGAAGTAGCCAGGGCAGGAGATACCCAACAGCTTCAGCCCTGTTTAGAATCTGTATGTTAACATTTTAGTGCCTCTTCACACCACATACTGTATCCAGATATGACTCCTCAAGAGAAACAGCAGAGCAGGACATGTTCAAAGAAACGGTATCAGGGAATTTCATGAACTTATAAGGACAAGCAGGACCTGCATTCACTCATACACAGTTGGACGGGACAAAGATGGGGCAGAATTAAAGTCTTTGAAAGCGAAGGGAGAGTGAGAGGAAAAACAGACCTATTTTCCAGTCATTAAACTTAAGGCAACGTCTTGAAAAATAAAACAGGTCAAATGTTTAGACTAATTACAAATAAATAAGGTTTTAGATCTTATTTCCCTTGGGGGATGAGCTCAGTTTGTGAATGACTAAAGCACATGGGCTTTAACTTGGGCAGGAAAGGTATTGTCATCCTAAGCAGCCTGGCTTCATATCCCCCAGTAACATCCTTAGATACGTTGGTCCTTGGTCCTCATTCACTAGCCTCAGGCCTGGGAATGCCAGAAGCCAGACAGCATCCAAGAATAAAAAGGCAGTCCTCCTCCCTAGATGTGACCAGGCCAGTTCTCTCTCCTCACCTGGTCAGTTTGGCTAGCCTAACAATCCTAACACCCTTCTACTTAACACCCTTTTCCTTAGCCCTTCCCTAAGGTTTAGGTCCGCCTTAATATTGACCCAAAAGATGGGATAACCCCATCTGCCTTAATTCTGTGGGTCTGGTATAGGGGTTCTGTCAGTCCTGAGCCCATGCCCTTCACTGCTGTTCACACGCCTGGTCATGTGTTTATGAGGCCAAACAACTGTGAAGGGTAGAGCCTTGGGAGTATCTGACTTTATAACATCCCGCCACCAGGAACCCTTTGATTCTAGGAGAAGAAACCTGTCCCTGGTCCCAGAGCACCAGCCTTTTCCACTTGGTTCTAGAATGGTCCTGACTCTGCTATTGTCTTATCCTCACAGAAAGTTGAGGAAGCGAGCGGCCAAAGCCTCGGCCCGACGCCCCAAGCCCCTTGGAAGGTAATGGGGCAAAAGCCCCGGGACCTCCTGCACACCCCTGTGGCCCCAGGAGGTGGATGGATGGAAGGCAGCCTATCCATGTCCATCCCAAAACCCAAGCTGATGAATGAAGGCTACGACTGGAAAATGGCCATTCCGGGGGGTGATGGGGAGGGAAGGCAGGCATGGGAATGGGCAGGCTTTGGTCTTAGGAGGAACAATGAAGGAATGGCTGAGGAGAAGCCTCCTCATCTTTCTGTTTCCCCCACACAGCTTGAACTGCAGCTTGAGCCACCTACATGCTTCCTCCCCTTCCCCAGTCTTCTTCCTTAATTCATCCTCACTCCCATTCCCTCTTCTGCCTTGACTTTCCTCTTATCTCCTCCCCTCACCCACCTGGGCTGACATAATTAGATTTCACTATTGCTGAATCCAGAGAGCAGCACGAGATCCAAAATTAGACGTCGGTGGTATACAGCAACCAGTGTTTGCAGCAAATTGGGCTGCCTTCATCATATCCCTTCCCACACTCTGCATAAGGGGTCCTTCCAGACACAGGCAAAAAAAACCACCCTTCCCTTCCTGGGCCATGTACCTAACCGCTACTTCCACTAATTTCTGTCTCCTTTTTTCAGACCAGTCACCAAGCATAAAGTCAAATCCAAACCCCGAGTGGGCAGGGGGCCGACCAAGAGGTAAATAAAGTTCAGGCTTGGTGGACAGGCGAGGGAGCACCTGGCCATGAGTCCTGGGATTGGGCCGTGGTCACGCCAGGGTGCCAGAGAGCCCTCCACCAAGAGTGGAGGGGCGGCAGCAGCTATTACAGACCACCTTCCTGACGAGTCACTGAACCAAGAAGTACGGCTTGTCCTTGTGTCACTGGGGAATCATGCTTGTCATGGGGATTTTTGAAAATCTCTGTAGGAGTTCATCCACTGACTGCCCTTGTTGCACATGCTCATTTATCTTCCCCAGTGAATTCTAGTGGAAACTCTAGCACTTTCGTCCTCCACGCGCCGTGCTTGCCTCTCCCCTAAGAAGTTGGTGTTTCCGTCCTACCTTTATTTGATTAAGTTTTAAAAACAAGCACTACTGGCCTGGAGGTAAGACTCAGTGTCCCCTCTGGAAATTTAACCAGCGATGGGATCCTCTCTGGCCCACCTGACACGATTAGGCTCCCAGTTCCATAATTTTCCTCCTGGGTTGCTTCGAAAAGAAGTAAATGAAAAATTTCCACCTGTGATTACATCTCACTGGGCTTCCAAAGGCCATTTGCACGTGCAGCCTCCCTGATGACTTCTTCAAGAGTGACAGACACAGAACTCATCCCTCTCCATTGTCCCCTCCTCTCCTCAGTGCATTCTGAGATCACCCCTCATTTGAGGTACCCCTCAAATGAGGTACCCCTCATTTTCTAGCTCCTCCCTCTGGTGGCTTCAAAGGAGCTTAGAATTTGGGGGTGTTCTTGTAGTGCCTTTTAGTTTAGGGTCATCTTTGCCCTACGTGGCCATATTCTGGCCTTCCCTGACCCCTGCGTTAAAGTGCACACTGTGTTTTACTTTGTTAGTTGTGGGGCAAGGGGGGGTCCACAAGAGAGATGTCTTTTTCCTGTGATGGCCTCTTTGACTTTTATTTTCAGCCAAACAGGACTTTTGGGAGAGTACCTGATCTCTTTGAGCTTCCGAATCCACTTATCCTGAGCTTCCAAAGGTATTCTGTCAAGTCTCTAGGCTGCCTTTGTTGTGTTTATAAACATGTCCTTCTCTCTGTCTTCCTAGCCAATGTCTTCAAGTTGTCACATTCCTTCCCTCCTCTGAGGCACGTCGCCGTAATATTTCACTTTCAAACCAGCCTCACAAGCTCACTCCACCAACACCAGGCCTTAGCTGGTTACCTTCCCCTCTGGGCTTGAACCAGCCACCCTAGCAAGAATGTACTTCACATGCCTCGCTGCAATCTCTCACTCCACTGGTGTCAATAATAAGTCCCCTCATTCTCTGATGCATCTCTCTGCAGTGATTCCAAATTTTAGCAACCCTCATTTAGTCCCATTTTCCTGCTTCTGGTGGCTATGGAATATTCTTTCTGTTACGTTTAAATTGCAGAATCACAGACTGCCTCATTAAAGACTCACAGCTTGGCTCAGGTCTGGGGATGTCCTTGCCATTGTTGTTCACATTTGCTCTCTTTCTCTGGCCATGTGGTCCCTCTAATTTTTGTCTGTCTTGCATTCATATACCATCATCCCTACAATTGCCAGCCCATCTTTTGCGTGTCCCCTATCTGGTCTGTTCTTCCCCATAACTGCCTGTCATACTCTGGCCTGGGAGTCCCTCTGGCCTCTCAGGAGCCATTTAGACCAGAGATTTACTCACTGATCTGCATTCTGACTCATTCAGTTATTCCATCCTCAACACAATAGAAGAATCTGCGTACTCTGGCTATACAGGATTCCTGTTCGTGTTGGCTGCCCCCTCCTACCCGTCTCTTCCCACCGGGTGGTCCTAGCTTCCCATTCTCTTTGCACGGTGGCCTCAGCCTCAGCCTCCATTGCTAAGGTCAGCAGTCTGAAACCATTTGGAACAAGGTTCGTCAGGCAAGTCAAGACTGGCTGCCCTCCCACAGGCCTGTGGCATAGGGTTCTTCTGCTGCAGAAGGTCCCCACAGACCCTGCTGTCGGAGTAACCTAGGCTCCTTCAGCCCAGAAACTCACCATTCCCTTTGTCCCTCTGGAGGGCAGTGAAGCAGAAAAGGGAAGAAGAAGGACACAGTGGTTGTGAAAAGTTAGGGGATGGTAGAGGCATGGAGCGGGAGGAGGGTTGCGAGCACAGAGGCAGGAGCGCTGTTTTACCCTACTGCTCCCCACTCCTGTCCCCCCAGGCTGCTGGCCCAGCGGCAGCAACACTCCTTTGGTCTGCATGGGGTGACATGTGTGGGTACAGAGGCCCACCTCTCCCGCTGCTCCTTGGAGTTCTATCGTGCCAATGACACCACCAGGTGCCCGGGGGGTGCCCCAGCGGTGGTGAGTTGTGTGCCAGGTCCTGTCTACGCAACGTCCAATGGCCAGAAGAAGCAACAGCAGTCAAAACCTCAGGGGGAGGTGTGTGAGACAGTGACAATGACCTTCCCTGCCCCAGGTGGAGACCCACCCTAGCCTGGCTGCCCCTGACTAAGCATAGCCCTGACCTTTAAGGACAGAGAGGAACCTTCCAGTGGGTGGGCCACAGACCTGATACCCCCCCAATCCCTTCTTCCATTGATCTCCAGGTCTGCTCTGCCCTCTCTGTGCCGCTTGCCGTTCCCATTCACTGCCACTGCACTGTCTCTCGTCTCTATAGGCCCGAGTGCGTCTAAAGGGCGGGGCCCACCCTGGAGAGGGCCGGGTGGAAGTCCTGAAAGCCGGCACATGGGGCACAGTCTGTGATCGCAAGTGGGACCTACAGGCAGCCAGCGTGGTGTGTCGGGAGCTGGGCTTCGGGAGTGCTCGCGAGGCTCTGCGTGGTGCCCGCATGGGGCAGGGTGAGGGAGAGGAAGGTGGGAGGAACAGGGAAGGAAGGTGTACACACTCCTGGGGGATACGATCCTTGGGAAGAAGGAGACCCCTGGGTGGACAATGAAGGCCCAGTTACAACATCCTGATCTTTGGCCTTTGACCCTAGGCATGGGTGCCATCCATCTGAGTGAAGTTCGATGCTCTGGACAGGAACCCTCCCTCTGGAAGTGCCCCCATAAGAACATCACAGCTGAGGACTGCTCCCATGGCCAGGATGCTGGAGTCCGATGCAACCTGCCCTACACTGGGGTGGAGACCAGGGTCAGTCACACTTTCCACCTTGGCTCAGGTATCTCGCGTCTTATCTGGTCATGCTCTGAAGCATGATGGCTCCCAGACCACTGCCCTGGGCCCCTGCAATCCTGCAGCTCCCACCTGACACCACCACGTGCCCTTTATGTGCCTCCAAGTCACCCGTGACTACAATCCTGCTACAGACTCCCACTGCCCCACCCCAAAAGCTTTCCCAGCTCTTCGCTTCTATCACTGCAGATCCGACTCAGTGGGGGCCGCAGCCGACATGAAGGGCGAGTTGAGGTGCAAATAGGGGGACCTGGGCCCCTTCGCTGGGGCCTCATCTGTGGGGATGACTGGGGGACACTGGAGGCCATGGTGGTCTGTAGGCAACTTGGACTGGGCTATGCCAACCATGGCCTGCAGGTGAGTGAGGAGGAGAGAGGAGCCAAGGTTATTGCCTCCAAAGCCTGTGTTTGGGGCGGAGGACTATGGAAATGAGTCCTTTGGCCCCGAAGGCTGGATGGTGGGGCCTCACAGAAACATCTGCGTATGTCCCCAGGAGACCTGGTACTGGGACTCAGGGAATATAACAGAGGTAGTAATGAGTGGAGTACGCTGCATAGGGACCGAACTGTCCCTAGACCAATGTGCACATCATGGCACCCACATTGCCTGCAAGAGGACAGACACCCGTTTCACTGCTGGAGTCATCTGTTCTGAGAGTGAGTGGAGAGCCAGCCAGGGAAGGGAGGTTCTGGGCCACCCCTTTCGGCCAAAGAGAAGGCTGTAATCTGGAGGGGTACTCCTTCCTATAAAAAAACAGCTTTATACACTCCACAAAGGGGCACGGGTAAAAGCATCCCTATCTGTCCCTGCCCTTCAGCAGTGACTTCTAACACTCCCCTTCCTTCCTGGGTGCAGCCGCATCAGATCTGCTGCTGCACTCAGCACTGGTGCAGGAGACCGCCTACATCGAGGACCGGCCCCTGCACATGCTGTACTGTGCTGCGGAGGAGAACTGCCTGGCCCACTCAGCCCGCTCAGCCAACTGGCCTTACGGCCACCGCCGCCTACTCCGATTCTCCTCCCAGATTCACAACCTGGGACGAGCTGACTTCAGGCCCAAGGCTGGGCGCCACTCTTGGGTGTGGCACGAGTGCCATGGGTGAGTGGGTCTAGTAAAAGAGCAAGGCCACTGGGGTTAGTGTGAGACTGCGGGGAGCAGGGAAGGAAACAAGCTCCCTTTTTTGTCCCCACAGGCATTACCACAGTATGGACATCTTCACTCACTATGATATCCTGACCCCCAATGGCACCAAGGTGGCCGAGGGCCACAAAGCTAGTTTCTGTCTAGAAGACACTGAGTGTCAGGAGGGTGAGTTGGGGCCTAGAATGGACAACAGTACCTCCATCCCTCAACCTTGCCTCACACTGATGTGTGCCATGCCAATCCCTTCAGATGTCTCCAAGAGATATGAGTGTGCCAACTTTGGAGAGCAGGGCATCACCGTAGGCTGCTGGGATCTCTACAGACATGACATTGACTGTCAGTGGATTGACATCACAGACGTGAAGCCAGGAAACTACATTCTGCAGGTGCCTGGGGTCTGAGATGTCCTGCTAGAAAGTGGAAGGAGTGTTCATTTGACACCTTTGAATTATGTTGCCTTTCTCCCTGACCCTGCAGGTGGTCATCAACCCCAATTTTGAAGTAGCAGAGAGTGACTTCACCAACAATGCGATGAAATGTAACTGCAAATATGATGGACATCGCATTTGGGTGCACAACTGCCACATTGGTATTTGGTGGGAAGGGCAGCCCAGGAAGACCGGGGGATGGGAGGGAAAGGCCTTCATTCTCTTCTCCAAGTTGTGTTCCCACCCACCTCTGGATTTCCTAGCCTCTCCACTTCCACCCACCCTTTCCCACAATCGATGTTTTCCTGCCCAAACTGCCCATTCACTTTACAGGTGATGCCTTCAGTGAAGAGGCCAATAAGAGGTTTGAGCGCTACCCTGGACAGACCAGCAACCAGGTCATTTAAGATGCTAATACGCACCTCTTCAGACCACCACTGGCCCTTAATGGCAGGGGTCTGAGGCTGCCATTACCTCAGGAGCTTACCAAGGAACCCCTGCTGTCAGCAAGCCCACTGCACTCATTCAGTGGGCACTGCAGATGTGGAACTGTCAAGCAGAAGTTGCCACCCTCTTTCCTAGGCCAGCTGTGCACATGTGTGACCAAGCATGGGGGAACCCTGGCTCCCAGGCCCAGCACTGAGCTGAGCTCACCACAAAGAGCAGCCCGATTAACTGGCCAGAACAACCGACAGCAGCAGCTCATTTTCTTGAATAGGGAGGTCAGGATGGTCAGCTCCAGTATACCCACTCCTCAGTGAGGGAAGAATACAGCTTCACCTCGAGCCTTTTTGTGGGAGAGAAGATCAGCACCCCCCCCTCATTTTTTACTATAACATGTTGCTAGGTATAATTTTATTTTATATAAAAAGTGTTTTTGTGATTCCTCAGAACACAGGGATTGATGCTGGTGGTTGGAGGGACCTGCCCCCCACTGGTTCATTTAATCCTCTGTCCAGGTGCCCTCACAGCCTAGGCCAGGAAAGCAAGTGGAAATCAGAGCAGGAGCCTCATACTCTTGCTGATCCATTCACTCTGTGACTTCAGGGGTCACATATAAGGTCAGTGTTTCTGTTCCCCGCCGGATCCGCACTGCCAGCTGGGATTGGGTTCGAACAGCTTCATAAATATCTTCAGCATTCTGTACCAGCTGCTCCCCGATGGCCAAGATCACATCACCTGGCCGCAGACCAGCCCTGTGGCAAAAGATGGACAGAGAGAAAGGAGGGAGTAGATAGCCCAGTTCATGGGCACACGTACACCTCATCCATCTCCACTTCACAGTGTAGTCTCTCCCTCACCGGTGTGCGGGGGAGTCCAGGATGACCTTATGGATGAGCACGCCATGCTGAACATCAGGAAAGCTTGGTTCTCGAAGCTGTAGTTCAGCAAGGATGCTGAAAGGACACAGATTACCCTGTTAACCACACCAAGGTGCTCTCCCCATTTTGGGTTCACCTTCAATCTCTCATCAACACACTAATAATAACTGTATGAACAAGGAATGCACTTGGTACTCCAGATACAAAGTCAACTTACTTTCTGCCTTCTAGTAGTTAGGAAGTGGGACATGCACAGAAAAGGTACCTAATTCCACATAACACATAAAGTTCAACCAACAGAAGTAATCTCATTGTAGAATCCTAAGAGAAGCTTTAAATTAATAGAACTTAAGCTGAGCCTAAAAGGATAGGCCAGCTATTTAACTATATATAAAAAAGAACAATATAAATAAAAACACATAATAGGAAATCAGGTTGGCTGGAACAGAATAGAATCGTGTAGAAAGCCAGGTCTGGAAAATGGCCCCTAAATAGCAGGTTAACAGATTGAAGGTTTTAAGTCAAAGCAGTGATGAGATGAAATCAATCTGGTGACAGCTGTGCAAAATGGAATGGGATGAGAAAGCCAAGAGGATGAGAGAGGACAGCTCTTCTGATAGTTCCAAGTGTGAGGCAGTCACAGATAGACAATTTCCTGGGAACAAAGCTCAACAAAAGTGCCATTGGCTCACCAATGGCAGTCCTACAGATCACTCCCCTAAAGCTCATACCTGGGAGTCAGGGTCAACATCATCACCCCAATGTAGCGGCGCTTGGACCCACTGGTTCCAAACCAGGAATCTGTGATAGAGAGACAAATGAACCCCACCCAGCTACATCCTTCCCTCCCCTCTCTCCTCCCAACAGACCCTTCTCCAACAAGGCCCAATGAATGCCCCACCACCACTTAAAGGAGCCTCTCCCCCACAAGCCAGGCTCACTCTTCTTTTCCCCACGGTGCAGAAACTCTCGAAGGCGATCAGAAGGGATAGCAAAAGAGATTCCAGCTGTGACCTTCATGGTATTCACTCCAATCACCTCTCCATCCTGCAGGGACAGAATCAACTATTCCCTAGCCTGAATAAATAGTAGGAGATTGAGTACCTGAACAAGAACAGCAGGAAGCATTGGGGAATTGGGGAGATCTGACTGGATTCTGGGAGACAGCTAACAAGGGACTGTTCAGAAACTTAACCAAACCTCACTGAATTAGAGAAAAGCCCACCCCTTCCCACACTGACCTGGGACAGGGATTCTTGGAAAGGATGTCCCACTCACCAGGTTAACCAGGGGACCTCCGGAATTTCCAAACTGCAGGACAAGGAGAAAATACGGGAAGAGATACAGGGACTCTATGCCTGAGTGCATACCGGGCTGTAGGCGTCTTCTCCAAATTCTGTATTTTTGTAGCCCAACCTCCATATAGTATAGGCACATTCACCTTCTATCACACTTGATGCCTGCACCACACAGCCTCTGTCCCTCCCCCAATCTAGATGGTCACTTTTCCCATATCAGTACGTACATCAATAGCTGCATCAGTCTGGATGTATTCCACATTGGTTTGCGGAAGGCCCAGGTCTTTGGCTGGACGCTGAGCAGAGCTGACGATGCCGGATGTGATCGTGTTCTGCAGTGCAAAGGGACTTCCCATGGCAACAACAAACTCCCCTTGTCTGACCTCAGCTGAGCGCCCCAGGGGCAGTGTGGGGAGGGGTTCCTAAAAGAAAACGTGTACAAGGGACCTATCATCTGGAAACAAGAGCAAATTCAGGGCCCCACCCAGACCTGGGCTGCCCGGACCCCCACCTTAGTCTGAATCCTCAGCGTGGCAATGTCTGCTACGGGATCCACAGCTGTTACCATGGCTTCATACGTGTCCCCACTAGGCAGCCTCACACGGACTCGGCGCCTATCGGCCACCACATGGGCGTTGGTAACTATGAGCCCGTCCGCAGCCACCACGAATCCTGAGCCATTCGAGATGGGAACTTCGCGGCCCGAGAAAGGGTGGCTGGAATGGAGGGAGAGCACGGATGTGAGGAGGTCGGACTCCTCCAGCTCGCCCGCCCTCTAGCCCGAGACTTCGGTGCCTCTGCCTCCTGGTATACCCCACCGTTACCGTCCCAGGATCTCGATATAAACCACAGCAGGTGCAGTCTTCTCCACCACGTCTGCAATGAAGTTGTACTGGCTCCGGGGAGAGGTGGGCGGCGAGCCGAGGACAGAGGCAAGGACGGCCGGGGGACCCCGCCCCCCGCGCCACAACAACAGCAGCACTGCCCCCCCAGCGCCCAGTGCCACCGCCAGCCACACGCGCGGACGGGCTCCAGGAGTCCCTGAGTTCTCCCGAGTCTGAGGATCTGGGGTCTCCGCAGTCAGCCGTGCTCCGGAATCCGAAGTCTCCGACGTCAGACATGTTCGTGGTCCAGGGACCCCCACAGAGAACTGGGCCCGGAGACTGGGAGTCCTGTAAGTCACTCCGGCCCGAGGGTCGGGAGTTCCTGACGTCAGCAGGGCCCGGAGGTCAGGGGTCAACGGGGGTGCCTTTCCCCAAAGAAACCCCCCAAATGCTCGCCATCCCCGAAAGCCCCAGCCTGCACCCCGCCCCGCCCTCAGTGCAGCCATCAGCTCCGCCTCGGCTGGTTCTTCGCCCGCCCTACACAGAGGCGGCGCCCAGGACGTGAGAGGGTGGACGGCTGGACGCGGAGCACGCCGGTAACAGAAGTCCTCCAGAAGTGCACGCTGGAACCAGGATGCTGGGAGACCGACTCCGCCCCCAGTCTAGTGAATGCCGGGAATTGTGGTCCCTGCGGGACGCGAGGTCTGATATGACATACGGGCCCGCGAGGCATGCTGGGGCTGCAGCCCTTCCGGGGCGCCTCAGGATTTCGGTCCCGACACCCTGGGCCGACGCCCGGAGACTCCGCCTTCCCAGGAGCCCTTGCGGCGGGTCGCGAAGATGGCGGCTGCGGCAGCTGCCAGACACCTCTAGAGTAACTGCGATGGAACCTCCACCGGCGCCGGGGCCGGAGCGGCTCTTTGACTCGCACCGGTAAGAGCTCAGACTGTGAGAGACCCACTCCCACGTCCACTCGGCCTTCGGCGCCGGATCACCCCGCCTCTCGCCCCCAGGCTCCCAGGTGACGGCTTCCTGCTCCTCGTGCTGCTGCTGTACGCGCCCGTCGGGTTCTGCCTCCTAGTTCTGCGTCTGTTTCTTGGGATCCACGTCTTCCTAGTCAGCTGCGCACTTCCAGACAGCGTCCTTCGCAGGTTCCGACCCGGGCGCCCGGGGAGGGTCAGGGATGTGTCCAGCCCGAGACGGTGCAGTCACTACTGCCTGCGTCCCCAGGTTTGTGGTGCGGACCATGTGTGCAGTGCTGGGACTAGTGGCCCGGCAGGAGGACTCCGGACTCCGGGATCACCGCGTCAGGGTCCTCATTTCCAATCACGTGACACCTTTCGACCACAACATAGTCAACCTGCTCACCAGTTGTAGCACCGTGAGTGGGGGGCGAGGACGAGTGCACCGCGGCCAGCCCCCCGGGACCCAACTTAAACCTACCCTCTGCCTGCCCCGTTTTCCCTTGGAGGCCACGAAATACTGAGCCTTACCCCTAACCCCTAAATGGGCTTCTATACCCCATATGTCAGTTTTATCACTTCCCAACATTCTTTTCTTCTTCCTTTCTATCTTCCCTGTTCCCAGCCTCTACTCAATAGCCCCCCCAGCTTTGTGTGCTGGTCTCGGGGCTTCATGGAGATGGATGGGCGGGGGGAGTTGGTGGAGTCACTCAAGAGATTCTGTGCTTCCACGAGTCTTCCCCCCACCCATCTGCTGCTATTCCCCGAGGAAGAGGCCACCAATGGCCGGGAGGGGCTCCTGCACTTCAGGTGGGTGAGCAAAGGTCTTAGTCTCTAAATGAGTAGGTAGTCAGGCTTGGGGGCCTATAGGTTTTCCACAACATTCTTCAGCTCTAACCCTTCCGTTTTTAGTTCATTTCTTTTTGGTTCTTTACCCTGAATCCCTTTATTCCCCATCTATCTACTTGGGCAGTTTGACAGTTTCCTCTTTTAAGTGGGGTATGAGCTGCTGACTGTGCTGACTGGAATTCCATTCTACTCTCTTCGTTCTAGTTCCTGGCCATTTTCTATCCAGGATGTGGTACAGCCTCTTACCCTTCGGGTCCAGAGACCCCTAGTCTCTGTGGTGAGTGCACACTGGACAGGGAATCTTTAGGGCTTGGGAGAAAGTTTCCCACTCCTGGCCCTGACTTAGATCTCACTTTCATGCCTTCTTAGACTGTGTCAGATGCCTCCTGGGTCTCAGAACTGCTGTGGTCACTATTCGTCCCTTTCACAGTGTATCAAGTAAGGTATTAATTGTCCTTACTTTTTGGTGGCTGGGAAAATCTCACCTTGAGGTCAGGAAAATAGTTGCTTCTGCCCTGTCCATTTGTAGATCTTTTAATATCAAGATGCAACACAAAATATTTACTCTCTCCACCCTTAACACCACTGTCCCATGAAACGAGGCATCAAAGTATGGTGACAGCCTACACCCCTGGTGCCCCCAACACGGCCCTGACTTGTTTTTTGCAGGTGGCTCCGTCCTGTTCATCGCCACCTGGGGGAGGGGAATGAGGAGTTTGCCCTCCGTGTACAACAGGTAGTAGGGTACACAGGGGGAGGCAGGCCTTTCCTTAAGCAGAAGGAGAGGACAACTTGAGGTTTTGACACTCCCAACCTTCCAATTCTCCCCAGCTGGTGGCCAAAGAATTGGGTCAGACAGGGACGCGACTCACTCCAGCAGACAAAGCAGAGCACATGAAACGACAGAGACACCCCAGGTTGCGTCCGCAGCCAGGTGTGTAGTCTCTGTACACAAAGCTCTTTTCCCCCAGCCCGTTGCGGTTTTCTCCCTATTCTTGTGCTAGTCAGCCTCTCCCTTCTCTTCATTCTCTACTAACCATATTTCAGATCTCTTTTTTGCAGCCCAGTCGTCTTTCCTTCCTTCTCCTGGCCCTTCTCCTGATGTGCAGCTGGCAACTCTGGCACAGAGAGTCAAGGAGGTTTTACCCCATGTGCCACTAGATGTCATCCAGAGAGACCTGGGTATGGAAAAGGGTAGCCTTTCACAGAAAGACAGGCACAGAGAGGAAAGGTGGGTGGTATGGAGAAATGGTGGGCAGGGAGACA